CATGTAATAATTTCTATGGGTTTTTCTCTCTTTAACGAAAAGTGTTCCACTTATTCAACCGTTCAACCATCAGATTTCTTTCAGGATGTCACGTCCGGATTTCTTTTATTATTATCTCTTGACGAAATTTTCGATAGTTTTAATATAATCTGAATATGTGAAAGATATAAAAAGTTGAAGTAATTGTTGTAGTTTTTTTCTAATTACTTTGAAGTAATAAAAGACAAAGGGCCGAGAGAATTCTTGGTCCGGTGACTTAAATTTTACGTTCATAGTTATCATTTAACTGATAATAAAAAACCGTAATCATAAACGAAAACACCTATATCCCATAACAGTAAGAATTACGTGAACAGTCTTTACAAAATCATTCTTTAACTAGTTATAAATACAGTAAATCAGTAAAATGATACTTCAAAAGATACTTTATTAAGTTACATATCTTCCTTTTAGATAGTCGAACTTTTTTTAAAATTAATCCAAGCGTTAATTCCCTACTTGTTAAGAGTAACAACAACCACAGATAAAACCTCTACCACTGCAACCCAACCCAAGAAGGGTCTTGGGTTCAGTACTAATTAAGAAAAGTACTGTTCTTAGTCAACGGTTGTGATTTAACTGAGATCACGCACAACCGCCAGGTTTCCCCCTTGATTAATTATTTAATTAAGGGTATCCACTTTATAGAGGGTGAGTGTACACCAGAAGAGTTTCCTGGGATCAGGAACAGGATCCCAGGATCACCCCACGGCTGATTAAAAAGAATAAATAATATTCTTTCATTAGGCGGGATTCGAATCCAGGACATTGAGCATTGGAATATCAGTGACCTACCACTGAGCAATCCCACTCCCTAACGACAGATAAAACGAATGAAATTCTGACATCTGAGTTACGATTGGCTTTACAAGATACAACTGGATTGGATGAAAATTATTGAGTTACAGTTAAATAGAGTTTTTCAAAGGATATTGCATATCGGACTTAAATATTATAATGTTTCGGTGTGATTCCTAATCTTCTCGTTAAAACATGACTTGGACCTGATTAAGTAAGGGAAATGCTGTGAATAGAAAGGCTGTGATGCAAAAGTATTTGTTATATTTTTTCTTAAACCTACATTGTGACGAAGAAGATGAAAAATACGTTGAATTCATACTCTGTGTTCTATCCCGTATTTACCCACACCTACTCGTATACAGGATGTAATAGGGTTAAGTGGCCAAACTGCAAAAATGAACTAAGGACCTCAAAATAAGAAAAAATTTCCTCTGAAGGTATGTCCGCAAACGCTATGTTTATGAGATATTCACGCCTAAAGATTTTCTTTGTTATGAATTATTTACGTCATACGAAATTAATAAAACCTATTTATTTGTTCTAACTACTTTCTTAATTAAATGTAAACATTAACATTCATATTATATGTTATTCAAAGTGATTTTCTTGAGCATCGAGACATGTTCGGCATATTTCTTCAACAGCAGCAGTGGCAGCAACGGCACTGGATATGTGTTATTGTTTCACAAGATTAAATTATCCTTCTTCGTAAGGAATTAAGGTTATTGACCGGGCTTGCTAAATCATATCCCATATCCCAATCGATGGATTGGCCGTGCAGGACAGTGGCTTGGCCTGCACGCTCTCCAGATCTGACACCACTGGATTTTTTTTTTTTGGGTGACATGTTCTTGCTGTGGGGGTCTTAATCCTTATGGAAATCACTTTGAACAACATTTAATATGAATGTTAATGTTTACATTTAATTAATAAAGTAGTCAGAATAAATTAATAGGTTATATTTATTCCATGTAACGTAAATAATTCATATCAACGAAAATCTTTAGGCGTGAATATCTCCTTAACAAAGCGTTTGCGAAAACATCTTCAGCGAAATTTTTATTCTTGTTTTGAGGTCCTTAGTTCATTTTTGCCACTTAACCCTATAACATTCTGTATAATAGAAGGAGGACGATCGTCAAATAATTGCCTCTTCTGCCCCAATAAAAATGTTGAGGAGGCGCGAATATCGTATCGCCTTCCTAATAATTTGAGGTAAGAAAGAAAAATCAATAATAAATAAGCTACATGAATGTATAAAATGTGTAAACTAAAATTGATTAAGAAAAGTCGACTAGGTAGGCTTGGTGTGTAACTATTTTATTGATACCTAAATGTTACTTTTATTTAAATTGTCATTTATATTCAAACATAATAATATTTAACAACATATCCTAGAATTTTATGATTCAATTTTCACTCGATATTCTTATCACATTTTCCACAATAAACCAGTCGAACTGTGAAAAGCATATTTTTATTTGGAGTTGTGTATACTAAGAAATCAAATATATTTTTCACCTTTTTACACTATTCATTTTTTTCTGATAAAGTTTTAGAAATATTATGAAGGCTGTCTATCCTTCCCCCTGTGTTTAATCTAAACAAATACGTTTTATAATCAATTGTATTTTATATTTTGATATTTGCAAGTATATATAATAAGTAAAAAAAAAAAAAAAAAGAATATCCTTACAACTATACAAACACATAAACAAATTTAAATATTATATATTATATATGTTCGTTTCACAATTATTATGTGGAATGTTTACGCATAATAAAAACTCCTGCATTTTTCTTTTTTATTTCTCGTCCCCCCAATCAAAATCGAAAGTCTGCCCATATGCCTGCACATACGAGTATTCCATATTTAATACTTTCTCATCGAACTCTTACTGAAGTCGTAACAGCACAAGATCAGCAATGTTGCAAGGATTGAGAAGAGAGAATGCAGTCCATCCACTTTCGCCTCATTAATTTTAGCTATTTACGGACTCTTCTAATTGTCTGGATGTCAGAGAAAGTAAACTCTTGTTTCCTAAGAACCTCGTCCCATTATGGCAAAAAACGATCTAACATTTCTAAGTTCGAATTCCATAACAGTTCATCACTACTTCGTATAAAATAAATAACTTAATTTTTGTAGGACTATGCCTGTTGTTTCAGCAAACTCACTTTTCGATAAATTGCAGTGAAATATCTGAATGATCCAGTAAAGAAAAAAAAGCCCATCGTTGCATATTCCTGCTGATATTTATGAATGTGAATTCATGTATTGTGAAATTTACAATCGGGATAAATGGACGCTAGCAAGATCGAGTTCAGGTGAATTTTATTGGTCCGAGCTGTTTATCTTGGGTCATCTTCAGGTTAACAAACGATCCGATGAACATAGAATCAAATTGATCGTGATAGATATTTTTTCATCACGATATAGCCCTGTTATAGCGATATATAGTATATATGGTACCAGTCGTTTATGTCCAAAAAGCAACCGAATGATATTTTTATTTATTTATTTAGAATTATAACAATCTACCACGTGGACAATAGATTATAGTGATACATGAACACATTCACACCATATATACAGAAAATATAAAATTAAAGAAAGTAAAATAATAATCAAAAACTATTACAGTAAAAAAATAAAATAACCTAAACATAAGTAAATTAAAAAACATAAAAACACAATCACAGCTATATACAATATATCCAATTAGGCAGGGAACCCCAAGCCAGGCTTTTCCCTCCAACTATAAAAGCAGGACTCCAAGAGATCCCAGTGCTACTCTCTCAACCGCGTCACTGGTGCTAAAGCCAGTGGGCAACTGAATGATAAAATTAATTTTTTTTCTGGAAAAATAATCTATTTCATACGAATGCATAGATCGATGTCAATATGGGTTTTTATTTATAGATACAAAGGGGGAAAAATCTGTTTAATTATTTTATTAATAATATCTCTGAAAAAGTTCTAGTGTGACTTATGGAAAGAAAATTCTATCTGAAAGGTTTTTGAAAAGAAAACTTTCAGAAGAAACATTGAAAAAAGTCCTTCTAAAAACTATATTTAAAAAAAAACAGATTAAATTAAAATAGACTTAAAATTAGACTTTTTTAAAATTATATCATGAAAAAATAATAAACAACATAAGTCCATTTTACAAACATTCACTGGAATACGTACCAGGTGAATGTCTGTTAACAAGTAAAAAATTCTTATTGAATAACCTCTCTTCCTTTGTAAACAGTGTAGTCAGATTTAAGTTTATGGCCTGGAAAAATTGATTTATTGAAATATTATTAAGTTAAAAGTATTGCGTTTTCCGGAAAATTATTTTATTGCTGTATTACTAAAAAAATGCCTTTTCAGTTCGATAAATAATTACTTTATTTCAAATTTATCCAAATTTTCGCCTCTTTAGGGATAATCTGATTTTACATATAATTTAAATTTTCATATGAAAAAAAAACTTATACACAAATCTTTTTTTCACATCTACAAACATATGTATTGTCGTATTAATCGAAAAAAGTCGAAACTTATCAGAAATTCACATTTTACAATCATTAGTGAAAGCAATGTAAAATAGGATTTAGAAGCTACTTAAATATCTATTTATAAAAAAATATATAAGAACTTCTATTTCAATGTGATACACTAAAGTGAAAATCACAAACCACGCATACTTGTACCAGAGAGATCCACACTTAATCCTAGAAACATTTTTGCAGAAGCTACAACAATAAGCTCTTTAATAAAAATCTCAAGGAGGCAGGTACATCTACAGGTAAAGGTGGGGGACGAATCCAAACAGTGTTCCTGTCTACTGGTTCTTTTTGTACCCACACAGATGCAATAATGGAGACCAATTTATCCTTCAACTCAGCAGTATGGTTTTCCAGTTGAAATTCAAAAAGGGCGATCGTACATTTTTTTTTTTTTGGGTCCTCCCCTTCCTCGCCGTATCTTTAGATGTCTTCATGATCTACACCGGCATGTAAATACTTCAATAATTCGTCAAAATTAATATCAGCCAGCAGCCACTTGGTCCTAGAAGAAGAAGGATTTTGAATTAAGGGTTGGCTTGTCTAAGTCTAGCGCACCTCTTCCGCTCTTTACCTTCTCTTCTCCACGTCTAGTCAAGGACCTCTTAGTGTAGACGATTCTTTGAAACCCCTAATCTAGGTTCTGACCCCATAAAAGGTGGCTGAGCACTATTGTGAGCAAGCTTTCCTGCTTTTTCATTATCTGTTACTCCCTTGTTACCTGGGACCCAAACTAGCTTCAGCTTCTTAAAGCAGGCTGGTGTCTGTAATGCCCAAGTGTCTTCAGCCCTAACCGCCACTCTTGGGGACTGAAAGGTTTGAAGAGCTGACTATTTGGATAGATTGTGATACCGAGCTCATTTACAACCGAAGTCCTCCGAATATGGCTGCGGAAAATGTGGCAAATACTTCTCTCCGAATACTGCTCTCTACTTCGCAACTGTAAAAAGTAAATATCTGGTGCGCGCTACACACAACTTTCACTTACCTTTCTACTTTATATAGAAATTATTTTCTGGTAATGTTGAGCAATTATATAATTTTTGAAGTGCACTTTAAACGAAGCTATAGACTAAAGTTTACAGCTAACTAGTGTTGCCCAAATGCGGGACCGAGATGAGTCTTGGTCTTGCACTCAGTTTTGGTCTAAGTCTTGGTCTTGCGCAAGAGTTTTACAGTTACCTGTTAGCTGAGTACTATAGAGATATTACTGTATTTTTTTTTAGATAATTAAGCCCGAATGAAAAATTAGAAAAGTTAAATGCAAAAGTATATTGGTTATACCAATTCTTTACATATAGTAACTAAAATTGTCAAGCATTAATTACAATTTTGCCTTAATTTTTATTTAAAAAATCGATTTTTTTTACCAGTCTTGCTCTTGGTCTTGCAACAATTAGGCGGTCTTAGTCTTGGTCTTGCAAAGTGCAAGATCAAGACCGATTTTGGGCAACACTACAGCTAACAAATCATTAACACCATTAAAATAACAAAAACCCTGTTAATTATATCAACGGTTGACAATAAAAACCACGGTACTCCATCCGTTTTTGTAAACTACATAACTCCAGTCTCTGAGCAATATATATATGCCTTGAGAGATTTGATAGTATATCTCTCTATTCAACCTATAAATGATTATAGATTGTGCGCCTATTAGTTATTAAACTGTTATTTTCCATTGTAAAATTTACTGCAAAGAAATTACGAGATTTTCATTGCCTGCCATAGACAGATCAAAAGTTTTTACAGTAATTTTAAGCGCATAATGGAAAATTTATCAAAACAAAAATAATTTAATTTTTTAAATGATTACATGACGATTTTTCGGAATAAAAAGATTGATACACAATTATATAAATAAAATATCACATATAGAGTTATTAAACTCTACAGTAAATGTATTTAAGGTTATAAACATATGCTCTATACATCCATGAAATATTTTTATATTTCATTTCTTCTTTCACATAAGTACTATGAAATAGTTTTTTAAACAATGGCATTAAAAATACTTTTTTTTCAAACTAAAAAAAGTATACATTTAGTTAGTAAATTTCATTTACCTTTCTGAAAACATGTGATTTCAATGAAATATGATTAATTATTAAAAATAAACCAAATTAAAGGTACTTTAGAGGAAGACATGTTGAACATTTAACCATTTAAGCTCTGTAAAGTGACATCAATGGGGATAAAACTCAATAATATTAATACCACGTAATTATATAATTATGCACCGAATTTAATCAAAATCGTTGGAGCCGTTATTGAGAAAATTGTAAAAATGTGTATAACCGTTGAAATAAAGTGCCACTTCCGGTTAGCCGATTTTGACGAAAAAGTTGCTGTAACATCTGAGGTATATAAAAAGCTCAAATGCGCAATTTCACTTTCTCACAACTTTTTGTTTTTGAGCTAGACACGCCACATAGATACACACAGACTATTACACAGGAGACCTCAAAACGTGTATTTCCGTTGAAAAATCAGTTTCGAAAAATTTCACGATCGCAATACTGTCCCTTACTATATATTTCATATTTAGGTAAGAGAAAGTAAAAAGAGTAATAAGTGCTATTTAGTGCATTTTTATGGGTATCACTAGAAAGCTTTTTTTTTTCTATCTTTCTTTGAGTCTAATGGGTTAAGTTTGTGGCTATTAAAGAGATGAACATTCCTTTGAGAATCATGGGAGAAAATTGAATTCACACCTGTGAAAATTCCAAATTTTCAATTGCTTTTTTCCATAAATATGATTTTTGCTCTTAACATACTACGCCAAGTCTAATGGAATACTTAATTTTATGTCTAAATTCTCAGTATACACTCCCGCTTCCGTTACACCACTTGAATCATGGATGACATATTGAAGCGAGTTTTTTTTTTCAACATAAGAACTTGATGAATGCAAGTAGCTTCCTCCACCTTGGCAATTTTCAAATAGCAAATATGTTCTCCTGTTTATTTTTGATGTCTATTGCCTTTTATTATTGAAAAACGCACGACAATTTCGAATTCCGAACCTTTTATTTTGTCAAAGAGACTCAAATTATTTATTTTAATAAAGATAGGACTTTTGATGTCTTCTAGGAGCGCCGTCGAAAAGGACCGTAATAATTGTAAATAGATAATCTAAGCCGTCGTAATCTATTTGAATTTATAATCTATCTATGACAACTTATATACTCACTTTCCTGTTGACTCGACAGCAGTGAATGAAGAGTGAATGGTTATTAAGAACTCAGTGAAACATCCGTAAAATCCATATTAATTCATAAAATCGTTAAGTTATTAACCTTTGTTATATTTATATTGCGATAAGGAAATTGCAATTGTTTTCCTTATGGTTCATTTTCCTTTTTCCTTGGAAAAAATTCAGCTTTTTTATATTTGATTACCCCCAATATTTAATATAGTATTCCCCCAAACTAACGATATAGTCTGGAGTTTTCAGGTAGCAACATTGCAGAAACTACACAAGTCTTAGGTGAACGGTAGCAGGTTATTATTCGAACCGTGAAGTAGGAACCACCTGTGCGGAACGGATCGTGTTCTGACATTCACTTTGTACTGCAAGTTCAATGAATTAAGTTTAGTCACAGAAGTTCAGTTCCTGGTCGCCGATTGTTGTGGATGCACCAGAGAAAAATTGACTTCAATTCTTTCGTAGATGAATCAGTCTTAACTTTTCACCCGCCTCTAACAATATCATAAAACGTTGCAAATTATTGCTCAATGCTTTATTATTTCCTAGCCGTTATATATGTAACACTACTTTCCTTGTCATATAGAGAAAAATAAATAAAAGGTGATTTCTAGTACAGAACTAAAAAAGATTTTTTTTCATCATTAGTATTCTGCTAAGAAATACAGACAACAATCTTGATTGCTGGTGATGTAAGACAGTTTAAAAATCAAAACAAAGAATATCAGATTTGCAGCAAAACGTTTGGAATATATTTAGAGCCACATATTTGCCCAAAATCATCCAACTTCAATGATTCTTTTTTTGGCTTCCATTCTCGTACTAAAAGATTCTTGAGCTGGTGCCTTCCGCTTATAAGGTGTTTTCGAAAATTTTGGAAAGAGTGGGGGGTGTGTGCAGTTTTTGGTGAACGTTAAATATTAACCATTCTTTAGTTTTATTGGCTGTATGTTTCGGATCATCGTTTGGCTGAAAAATAAATTGATGCTGGATTCCCAATTTAGCTGCACTTACAGCGCAAAATAGAGATTATGGCGCAAAATCCTCACATTATCTTCTGAACTTAAAATCCCCTGAGGTAACGCGTCTCCACTCCATTACATTCCCATCTTCATGTTTTTCAGTAACTGAAACATTTTTATTTCTTCAACGTTTTACTAATTTCTCATTCGGCGAATAGTCTTTCAGCAGTCCTCCCAAGACATTTTATTGTTCACCTCTTCTTAAAAATAGTTAGAAAAAAAACCTGAACCACTGCAACCCATGAAGGATCTTGGGTTAAGTACTATATAGAGAAAGTACTGTTTCAAGGCCAACGGCTGTGCATGGAGGGGATCGGGCCAGGATCACGCTCAACTGCCAGGTTTTCCCCCTTAATCAATTATTTTATTTAAGGGTACCCAATTTCTAGAGGCTAGGTGTGCCACAGGAGTGTCTATCCAGGGTCAATGAAACAGAATAAATATTTTTCCTGTCATGAACCGGTATTCGAACCTGGGACCTTTAGCAATAGAAGCTCAGTACCCTACCAGTAAGCTATCCCACTCCCTAAAAACAGTAGGAGGAAAGTAGATTTTAAAAAATCGTAGATCATATACAATTACATGTGCTGCGGACTGTTCCACGTTCTCCCCTTAGTCCCTGATCGAAGGCATTTTATTCTGACAATTCTAAAAATCCCGTTAACACCTCCTCGAAAATTTTGATGGCCTAATGTGCGGCATGAAATCCGCTTTTGGTCATCCCTGCATAAGGCACATTAACAGACCGCAACGAATGCGAAAAGTGACTTGACCTTGATCCAGGTTTGGCAGCCACTGAGCTTCTTGTTAGCTTCACGGATGCCTGAATTCGTTTCACACGTGCGCACATACTTTTTCAATTTTTGATGTGGTTACTCATTTGATACTTTATCTTATATTATTGTTGATTTACTATCAGTTAATCGTTTATGAATAATGCACTGAGAAGCATTACTTTCCCATAAGAGGTGTTTCATCAAGTAATCAAGCCAAGTATACCTAGCAGTGAAAAGAAGCTGGGCGTTCTCAAATGAGGCTATGCGTGGTCTCCCCTCTCTCTTCCAACTTAGAAAAAAATTAAGATAAAGTATTAATAAATATAAAAAAAAGAAATTTATGAAAAAATTATTAACTGCGATAGGTAAGTGTTAATATTTCAAGATACTATAAGCAACTAAGAAAGAAACAAAGACTAATTCTACCTTTAAATTGATCCACGGAATCCAAAACCATTTTACACTCTTAAAAATGTTTGATACAAATGAAATATTGATTTAAAAAAAAATACAAAAGCAAAGCCAATGCGATTGAACAAGAAACTAGAGCAACTGATATGAAGAACACGTTTTATTTTTATACTTTTATCGTTGATCTTAGCGGGAATTATGAAATTTTCTCGAAAGGATTAATACCTAGTAATCTCCTTTGACCTGCCATATACCTATTATTACTTCAGGCTTAAAAATATTTCTTTGATCTGCTGTTGGATAAAGCAATAAGCAGCGACCAAATATGGCTGGTTTTTTTTTAAACATGCAGGTATAAATAAAATTAAGAACAATAAAAAAATGTTTTTAAAGCCTGGTTCAGAGATAGATATAATTTCAAGTATTTGTATCTATCATATATAAATATCATAAAGTGTCCTAATAATGCAGAATAAAAATTAAAGTGTGCGTTTGTTCAGAAATAAAAAATATTCACTCACAACTATCAGTCAATGACTTCCATTTAGTAGGTGGTTTGCGTATAAAGAAGTTTGTTATTAAGTTCAAAGGCAACAAAAATGACCCATGGTTCTATTGAGGACTGAATGCTGAAATAGCGAAGAAATATTAACTTGCAGATTCGTTTTTTTTTTTTTAAGTCAACTTGATTTCTTCCTTGAGATCATTATTATTGTTTAGATACCACAAAGTAAGCGTTTCTAACAACGTATGAACGTGATGGAAAGACTGGATCAGGGACGTTAGATAACTAAACAGTCGGAGCTTCATCAAGTTCAACAATTGAGTCACTTAAAAAAAGCTATTGCAGGAGCTTTAAGGGGAAGATTGAAAGGAAACTAATTATAAGACGCAGAAAGGCCGTGTAATGAAGAGTAAACTTCAAGTTAATACTTCAGTAAATGTTTTTTTCATATTCTTGTAGTTTATTCTCCGCTCCTCTCAAATGCTACATAAATTTCATCATTGAGGTCCCATGATGATATAACGTAAGATGGGGTAACTTTGGGACAGCGTGTAAAATTTAGTTTGTGGTGACTCCGTGGTAGATACACTGTGTTAGTCCAGTCTGCAAAAACGTGCTTTGTGTATGTATGTACTACTCCTCTACCTTGCGGCAGTTTGAGAACCCTAGTTCACTACACTCGTTGTGCAGTTAGGTTTTATTTATTTTATAAATATTTATTTTATCCATTGCTTTCTTTTTTTCTTTATAATTCTTGTTTTCATGAAACTATCGCTTGGGCTTCAAGAATGCCGCAAGGTAATGGCGCAGTACATGCTGACTGAAACAACACAGTGTACCCACTACGGAATCACCACAAACTAAATTTCATCCACTGACCCAAAGTCAAATTAAAATTACGGTATGTAATTCTTGCTACTGGGAAAGGCCCCTCGACCACTCTGTTGATTCGCTGTTATTGGAATACGAAATTAGGAGTACTTACCCCCATGTTAACAATACTCTCTAAAATCCAATGAGTAATTCAAGACAAAAGCTGATTTCTACCATAAGCTGCTTGGTTGATCTCTATTAATTTATTTTTTATCATTGCTTTATTCACTGAAAAGATTTCAATATGGACTTCCCACTAACTAGTCTACTTTTGCTATTTCAGGTGCTGCAGAATTTGATGTCCACACTCAATCCGTCGGATCGACAAACGAGATCAGCAGATTCCGAACAACCTTCTCTCGGTTTCGAGAGTATAGTGGGCAGTCTCGTACCTATGCTCATGCAGCAGGGGCACGAGCACCACGATGAGCCTGAACTGGAGGATGTCCATGCACACGAGCAGTTTGAACAGGCTACGTCCATGTTCAAGCCCATCCTAGCACAGGTTAAGAACACTCATTACTTATAATGGCTTTTTATACAAAATGCGGATCAAAGAATACGATTAAATTACTTTTATATTCTCCACTCCAACAAGATAGTAGTCCTATTTAGTAAAATATGTTTTGTGTCATATAACAGGTATGGGAAGTGTTCAGGAACTCAGAAATGGGAAAAGGACTTTGGGACGAGTCGGGTCTTCGGGAAACATTCGATCACTTCCTCGATCTCAAAGGTAAACTAAAGCTGGAGGAAGCCCTCAAGAGTCTTGAGAATCCACAGTTTAGGAAGAGATGGCTCAGGTCTCTGGTGTCCTTCGTTGCTCGATGGGTTAAGCACGTGTCCAATCCTGAAACACACAAGAGGTAAAACAGTTTATTCAATTAAGTATCGACAACCATAATGCAAAATCCTGTACAAACACGAAAAATGATCAAGAAACGAAACAACAAGCGTATTTTTTTAAATTGGGAACCTCAAATTTTCTTTATGGTCTCTAGTATATGCGTTGGACAAAGACGAAATGCTTCAAGTAACTTTTTTGGTTTGCAGTTCTGAATGGAACAAAAATGCTCAAACTCCACTTTGTAATAAAAATTTACTTACAGGATTTTGCAGCATGGCTGTGGTTATGTTTTATGAATGTAGATACTATTTAAATTTAGTACAATAAGAACAACATAAAACGGTATTGGTTAATCTATAATTATCAACCAATTCCGAACTAGCTGCAAAATCACATTTTAAACAATTATATATATATACATATGTGTGTGTACAATGACCCTCGTAGTGACTGAGAGACTAACAAAGGACGATTTCTTCCTCGAGGAATCGAAACCTGTTCTGTGACCAAATCATGAACACTTCTAGGGTCATCGTCATCTCTGACCCAGATCTGACGTAATTTTCCGGTTCTGAGCATGATAGTTAAGGCTTTACAATTTAGAATTAGGAAAAGAAAAAAATAATTAGTTAAAGTCTAAGAATATTTTTTCAGATCCGCCGTTAAAAACTACATATACTTCAATAATCCTTTAGAATACTATTAATGTTGCTTCGCATTCTTCTTCTGATATAATATTATTAAAATGTTATAAACAATTGATTCCTTTATTACTCAATTGATTGAGCGAATAATTTGTCAACAATCGTTGATTTCAAAGTTTGTTGCAACCCAGTCAACTCAGTATTTTAAGGATAAATGAGTTTATTAAAAAGTTGAAGAAATTTAGCAATTACTTACTAATTTAAAATTCATTTTGAATTTTCGTAATAAAAAGTTTCATAGTAAAGAACTAGAGGGTAAAAACATGGGACAGACACAGCTTATGTAACTGTTTATAATCTACGATTATTTAAATTATACTTTCGCTTGTACAGTTTTTAAGAAGAGGAGAATAACAAATTTTTGGAGAGGGAGGGAAGGGAATGATTCATGCACCATCAACCTTGGGGGTGATGGGCATCCCTGAAATATGGTAATGTAATTGGAAAATGTCAAAAGCATAAACTCGATGATTAGAATGAACTATGAATTAGCTAAGTTATCTATAAATATAAAATATATGATATAATATAATTAATATTAAACAATTTAAAAACATACCGTTCGACTTCCTGCCAATTCTGAACCCGTCAGCATATCTTGGATTGGGCACCTCCGGATCAAGTGACAAATGTACCCTTATATTTTCATTCTCAATTTCGGTCTTGGATATACTCTAAAATGGTATATTAAAAAATAATATTTTGAGCATATCCTGGGTAACCCTTAGTACATACTTTTATATGCACTGGATTCGATGGATTAAGAGACAATCTGATGAGAACCACGGAAATTTACTCCCTGTCTTAAGAGGAATTTCTTATCGCTTGGTGTGTTAGGAGAACTTCCCGCGATTCCAGAAATTCATTTATGACTTGATGTATGGAGTGGATCGAGCTCGTTTCAAGATTGGAGTCTGGAGAAAAGGGCCAGCGATAGGAAGACCGTTGGAAGATGGTAGTCACTCTTCACCATAGGCCACCGAACTATATACCATATACTTCACTGGAAACTAAACACTGTTTTACTTTTATGTAGTATTATGCAGACATGTGTTACATCTTACTAGTGCAAAATAACCGCATTGCCTGATAGTCTAAGGGAGGTAGTCCATAAATAAACTAAAAAAAGTTGATATATCTATAGTATGTAGATGGAGAAAAGTGTAGGAGTGAGGGATTAGTCGTGGATAATGAGGAAAGGGATAAGTTATATAAGAATATATAGCATTGAAATCCTCTGGATATAGTTGGAGCTACGAACCAGATAGAAAAATGTCATTCTCTATTTAAACAGTGTGGAAATTTGTATAAAATCAAAAAGTTTTGTTTTTTCCCATATTGTTAAAATAATATGGATCCAATGGCATATGTTTAGATATTTTTCTATCTCTAAGATAAGAAAGATGAGAGAGAAAAATTTGAATTATTTCTTGATGATCATAGAACAAACTGTACCGATAAAGCTGAAAGGACGTCGTTTACTATAGATGCAAATGCGTATTTATTTTTAACAACCGGAAAAAATGTTGAAAGAACAAAAGTTTGTGACGATCCCGTATGCTTGTGACAGCTGTATTGACAAGAGGCATCTGGATTCAAGAAATTTTTGTTTGCAAAGCTAATTACACGAACAACGATGTATGGTAGATCCACCTCACCTCCACATGTCTATTCTATACCGTTCTGCGTCACTCAAATGGGAGCACGTATTTTCATTTGTCATTCTTTCTCTGTGACTGATTCTTGTATTTTAAGACAATTTTCACAACACAGTAAAGAGCATTCAAAGCAATAACATTTTATAATTCAAACATAATTTAGTATGTAAACACCATCATTTTCATAATGTCCTTAGTGCTCTAGACAACAAAACATTACTACAGTGGACGCAAATAGCTCTTTCAACAGTTTCCAAGAAGCTCTGACAATTAATCTTGTATTATACCCTTTTGTCTTGATTATTAGTTGTTAAAGAAAATAATCCTTAAGGAAATGTTTTCCTGTTCTTTTATTGGCAAAATTGGTAATACCTTTGGTTAATGAGAGCGTTTCGCTAGATTATCGAATCGGAATATTCACTCTAGTGTCCCTTGTTTGTTTTTAAATGCGTATCTGTTTCTATCGTTGCATCAGAGGAAAGAATTAAGTGTCATTTTTAACCTTCAAAATCATTAAAAAACATAATCGTGAGTAATGTTATCTATTCATTTAGTAATGATCCAATTTATCCCAAGGTGTCTTAATAATAAAAGCATATAATCGGGACTAACGTTATCAATTCATTTAGTAAAGCTCCAATTTATCCCAGGGTATCTTAATAAAAAAATCGTCCATTAGTTAATATTATTCGTGCGCCTGCTGACTCTGAGCAGCCATAATCCATGGATCTAGACCGATCTACCACTGTCCTTGAACCCGAGTGAGCCGGTGGGATGGACATTGCCGGATTGGTCCTAAAGAGATCGGCTATGGAGCTACGGGTGGCCTGCCGCAGCACCATGGAGACCATGGTTCGTAGCAACGTGAGGTTGGGTGGCCCCCTCCAAGCTACTACAGGCTACGTATGTAGGGGAACCACGTCTCGCGGCCAAAGATCTTCATGGTCTGTAGCGCCAACAGAGAAAAAAAAATCTGGAGCTTTCAAAACACAACTTTCACTACCTTTCTACTTTGAATAGAAATTATTTTCTGGCATGTGGCAAGAAATTATAAAAATTTTGAATTGCACTTTTAACGGAGCTAAAGCTTAAAGTTTACAGCTAACAAATCATTAACACCATTAAAATAACAAAAACGCTATTAATTATTTCAACGGTAGACAATAAAAACCACAGTACTCCATCTGTTTTTGTAAGCTGCATAACTTTAGTCTCTGAGCAATATATATATATATATATATATATATATATATATAATATATATATATATATATATATATATATATATATATATATATATATCCCTAGAGAGATTTGAAAGTATATCTCTTTATTCAACCTATAAATGGTTATGTATTGTACGCCTATTAGTTATTGAACTGTTATTTTCCATTGTAAAGTTTACTACAAAGAAATTACGAGATTTTCATTGCTTGCCATATACAGGTCAAAAGTCTTTACACTAATTTTAAGCGGATAATGCTAAAATTTCATCATATTATTCACTAATTTAACTTTTAAAAAGGTTACATGAAGATTTCTCGGAATACAAAAATTTATACCCAATTATTTAAATAAGATATCAGATCTAGAGTTATTAAACTACAGTAAATGTATTTAAGGTTGTAAACATATGCTTTATACATACATAAAATATTTTTATATTTCATTTTTTTTTTCACATAAGTACTATGAAATAGTTTTTTAAACAATGCCATTGCCTTGATTAGGAGGATTTTTTTTCTTAATGATATTTACAACTCTGTTAAATAAATACATCTAGTAAATTGGAACATATGGATATAATGACATAAAAACACTTGCTGAGTAATTACCCAATGGTATCACTCTAATGACATGTCTACATTAGGAGATCACGGGGCCATCTTCTTTTCAGACGCCTCGGTGGGTTATCAGGAATTGAAGAGGAAGCAAGGTTAGAAACGAGAGGGTTGGGATGATTCTGAAGTTTATTATGGAAGGATAGGTATCTGGATTGGGCCAGATCTGAAACAAAAGAAACATTAAAGTCATTATGGATGGTTTTATTTGTAACAAAGTAGGGAACATTGAGGATGGAGGATTTTAAATACTTTTTTTTTCAAACTTGAAAAAGTGTATATTTAGTTAGTAAATTTCATTTACTTTCCTTGAAAACATATGATTTCCGTTAAATAATTAGTTTTCACGAATTATTATTTATAATATTTTGCCACTTTCTATTACTTTCTACGACTTTCAGTATTAGAAATTGTTTTTTACTAAAATTCGCCGCTTTCCAAGGATATATTATACGTATGCCTTCCGACTACATTTTTCGGAAATTCATTTTCGGCCTAAATAAACATCTTCCCTTATTTCTCCATTTTCCAATTATCAAATTATCTCAAAAGTTATATTTAGCATTTTTTTCATAACTCCTAATAATGAGGGATGGTTCATTATATAAAATAAACCAAATCAAAGGTACTTTAGAGGAAGACATGTTGAACATATAGGCTCTGTAAAGTGAGCTCAATGATATTAAAGACCACTTAATTATACAATGATACACCGATTTCAATCAAAATCATTGAAGCCGTAATTGAGAAAATTATAAAGATGTGTAAAACCGTTGATATAAATAGCCACTTCCGGTTATCCGATTTTGACGAAAA